TTATAATATGACTTAAAATTTGTTTTATTGTTATTCTCAATTTTCATGCCGTCATTCTTTTGTTCGTAAAGAATAAGAAAGTTCTTGCAGTGCAGTAATAAAAGTTAAAACTTGCTGATAATATTGTATTTTGTTGTTTTTGGTTGACTGATGGGGCAGTTGGGCTAATGTTTATGTGGTTGCATTGCAAAGATCAGAACGTGTAAATACACAAGTACACAAGTGTGACTATTCACAAAAGTAATCTACAGTGTCTTATCCTAATGAAAAAACTCAATCATTATTGGACATTTTCGTTCAAGAGTCCTTCTAAATCGATATTTTTGTAATGGGGGATCAAAAAAATATAACATTTTTTATATTCAGTTAAGACGAGAATTGGAAACAGAACGAGAAAAGAACAATCTCATAATAATAAAGACAATAATGAGATCATAAAACTATGATGATGATGATGACTCTCATTCTATAAACCTATTTTATATTGAAGGATATGCTGAGAATATTATTATTAAATCGAGATATAAAGACTTTTTTTTGTGCTATCCGGAAACAGAGATGACCCTTTTTTATCGGCTACCTATCCAATATTATTTTCATGACTGTTGCAACTTTATCTTTATCATACATATATTATCCCTTTAACCCTCTTACGATACCTTATATCCCTTTTCATATTTTCTCGGGAAAACTTATTTTTGGTTAGTCCTTGGACATTGATGTCAAGAAAGCATTTTTATAATATGGACGTAATTTTTTTGCAATAATAAAAGTTGTAATAGTTGCTACACTTGTGGTCAAAGTTATAGATCTCAAGATTGCTAGTAAAATAATGTCGGAAGCAACTTCAAAGGGCAATTTTAGAGGAGATTAAGTGTTCCTTTTGTTATTGGTTAATCCAAAGAGAACCTTTGTTTAAAATCCCCCAAAAAAAAACTATATTAAAACTCATTTAGTCAGTCAATCAACACAAACTTAATCATACTTTCTTAGAAAACCAAAAATAACTTCAAAAGACAAAAACAAGGAAGCAAGTGGATGTAAAAGTTCATGAAGAAAACATCAATATTGCCACCATGCTCATGAAAATGGAATAATAAAATTAAAAAAAGGACAACATTGGTTCTATTGTGTGCATTTGTAACAAGTTTGAGACAACTTCGTAGCATTATGAAGGGAAAAAGGTAGCAAGTAGAGATGCTCATCTCATTGTTTATTTCGACTTTTCATATTTTTATCCTTGCTGTATTTTCTTTTCGGGCTAATGTCGAAAATTTTTTCAATAAGGATGTGAATGAAAAAAATATGCTTGGATAATGCTTGAAGCATTATCTTTCAAACTTCTGTTGTCTTTTTTTATGATTTTTTTTTACGGATGATCTTTTCTTTTGAAAATTGAAAAAGGTTGTGAATTTGTATGTTGTTCTCGGAGAGGATGGATAAACATTTTCTGGGTTAGTAGCGGAAAATCTTAAAGGTAAGCAAAAAGGTGGATTTAAAGTGAATCTATGGACAGTTGAATGAAAATCTGTCAGGAATGTGTTTACAAAAACTTGAATAAAATTTTGGTCGGCTTTGGTATTAAACACACCAAGTTAATTTAGGATCCAACGGGGAGTCCATTGAAGGAGTCAAGGTGGCATCCCCTCTAATGCATTCTCTGGTCTGAGTCAGGTTGAGTTTTGTTACATAGAATATCAAAATCATAACCTCAAAGACCCTGACCCTGTTGATAGCATCCAATAAATTTTGCACGAAACATAACAACCACATGAGAACCAGATACTGCTCGTTACATCATTCATAATAATTAATGAGAAGTAATTCATTGTCAAATTGGTTTGTTATTTTTGTTGCTGGATGATTCTCATGGCATTTGCGTGTAATATGTTTAATTAATCATTTTCAGGAAAAATGAAGGTGCCATAATAATTTATTAACAGATTAATAATATCTGACAAAAAACAATGTTCAGGAAAAAATACTAGTCAGGTCTCTTATATTCTAGGAATTATTTTATCAATCCTAATAAATATTCTAAAAAGCTACAAAACTTTAAAAGTTCAATAATCAATATCAAAACTCACAAATCTCAACCATTAAACAATTTTACCCCATTTACTCTAAATAGTCAATTTAAAATTCAAAATTGATGCATTTAAAATTTTAATACAAAATATCACATTTTTGGGTAAACCTCAATGCACACAAATCTGTATCGTTTTGATCAAATTTAAATTGATTTGAATTAATTTTAATTGCAAATAAAAAGCTTTTGAAGTAAATAAATTTGCATTTATTTCCTATGCTTTACGTGGACGATTCAGTAAAAGTTGTGTTTAGGAGATTTGAGAAGATTTAATAGAAATAAATCAATGGACATAAATTGAATTATTGAAAGTTTAGTATTGTAGATCATTTTATTATTTTTGGGGAATTGGATATGGAAAGGGTGACCATTTTCTTGTTCTGCTTTAGACCGACAATTTGTAAAGTTTCTGAAACTTTATAACTATGAATATAGTCATACTCTGTACATGCTACGAGATAATTCTTATTATCTGTAAATATTTGAGAAATGTGAGAAAGCTCTCCATTACAATTAGAAGACATGATGCATTAAGCAAACTTTGAATAGATTTGAATTACATTTGAATAAATCAAATGCACATAAATTTTATAGTTTACTAATATTATGCATTTGAAGTGTCTTGTAGACAAATAAAAATAAATTTCATGCATTAAAATTATAAAGCTAGTCCAAACCTTCTTTAAAGAAGACAATAACCTCCCATATTATTCTTTACAGCTATAGCTATTCGCATACGATCACAAAATTACATTATCAAAATTCAATTTTGCTTCATGACGATACAAGCTCATCACCATGAAATTCAAATTAAGCACCAAAATTGTTTTACAATATTTTTTATGTGCAGCATTATTAAAACACATTCAACGCACAGAATCTAAGCTAATATTTAAAAAAATCTCTTTTACAGCATGATTAACTTTTCAAAATTGAATTTTAATTAAATTCAAGATAAATCTGTTTGTATTTTAAAAATCCATTAACATAAATCTAATTAGAAGTAATCAATTCATATTTTCTCATAATAAAAATTGAGTTTGATGTGTGTGTGCCTTCATAAGGGTAAATTGAAACGAAAATTATTAGTAACTTCCTCTTTTTGTATTATTTACCAGCTTTCGTATTTCCTTTAACAAAATGTAGGAAATAAAGAAGAAAACATTGCGGATTATTAAAAGGGATGTTTATACTCACTGTGGTAAAACCACATTATTCTTATAATCACCAACATGTTCATCCATATAAATAATTTATGTAGATATAATGTAATGCTGTTTTTGATAATCACCCTTTAAAGTATAAATTTGATTGTTTAGGGAGCTTAACCTTTTGGGGAAAATAATTTTAATGAGAATTTGTGGATCGAAGTTTATCTGACAGTTTATATTGTTTGTGGCTAACTTGAGTTGATTAATATTTTGTTGATTTTGGGAACTTTTGAATGGTCAGCATCAGTGTTGATTACCAAAATTCTAGGATATAAAGTTGACTTCAATTTTCTGAATTTTGTGTGAAAAACTTTGTTCCGGAAAGTCAAAAACAGTCCGGATCAAATATAATATCGAATCCAACATATTTTGCATCTAAATCCTTAAAAGACTGCACTTTTAATCCTAAAAACTCAAATAAATACTGCTCAAAACTATCTCACATCTTACATCATTAATATTCATGTTTATGAATTTTAAATTTTTCTACTCACCATTCTGTAAGGAAGCTACAGCTATTATGAATCATAAATGTATTCACATCTCACATCCTTTCTAGAATTATTTTTTTTATGGTTTCTCATAATTTCTCTCATTCCTTTAAATTTTTTATTACAAGCATAAGCATAAAAGCTTCATCAGGAGAAGAATAACATACATTCATATCCTATTTATGATTAAGGTTCAACTTGTAGTTTCTTCTCTCATTTCCTACACTATTCCTTCTCAATTTTTGTTGTAAGCTGTAAAAACTTTTTTCCCCGTCATTTTTGATTATTCATGAAGTAAAGAACAAACAAACAAGGAAAAGCTCAACATTACAGTTGTGTGCTTAATGTCTTGTAGATGGGCGGAAGGAGATATAAGCAAACTTGATATTTATTGTTCTTTAAGCCAGTAATCATCAAGGAAAAGAAAGGCACTCTGCTTTTGTCTCTAACCTTGACCATTTTTGTGAAAACAATGAATGAATGACTATTAATCAGCATATCAAAAAGGTTGAGCTTTAAATAATAGGGGGGATTATCTGATGGAAACGATGCTCAGATTTTTCGAAAATACTGGGTTAGTGTGACAGATTTAAAACTTGGATAAGGCTTTAAAGAGCTGTGTTTGTTCATTTTAATGAGATTTGCTGGCTAAAATTATCAGTTGAACTAGTTCTCTATTATAGACATACCTCAGACCTGAATCCAAACATATTATACATAAAAATTGTCTACTTGATCTTCACTTAAATTTAATAAGCCCTAAATCCTCAGCGATTCCAAAACATTTTAAAACATATTTCAATTTTCTACCCCATAAAGGACGAGACATAAATAAAAATTAAAAAGAAACGAAAAGGCAATAAAAAGTAGAATATACTCTTTTAATGACATTTTAATGTGGCTCAATACAATTCGTCGTGTATTTTTTTCTCGTTCCTTTTCACGTCTCGGATGGATTTTTTTTTTTGTGTATATGCCCGACGGAAACTGACAAGCCAATTAAACTAAAAGCATTTTCCGGATTGTGACATCAACAGAATAGAGCTCAAATGGATATAGAATGACGGTATGGAATGTGTCTCTTGTCTTTTCACTGCCATTATGTGGGCAGTGGACTTAATTAGATGAAATTGAATAGTTTTCTTTTTATTATAATGTCGTGAAATGGGATCAATAGGTTAATTAATGGGGAGAAGTTTTTAAACCTACCTGTCACTAAATTAGCATGATGAAATTGACAAACGGCATCAGCTTCAAACCACGATATTTTATCACGGAAATAACGATAGAATACATTAAAACCAGCCTGCGGTAATGTCCACGTGTTGCTAATATTGACCTATAAATAAAAGAGTATAAAATATTCATCAAATTATTATTAAAAATGTATGTGACTTTAAATTGAGCTGTGTATTAAATTGATGCATGCAATATGATAATGGAAAATAAAAAGGGAGAGGTGTGAATGCAGCTGGCATTGTTTGGTAATAATAAACAATTTTAACAATTCAGATTATTGACTGGACTGAAATATACAAAATTAATAAAACTCAAATGTAGAACCTCTAAAAATGATGATAATTACACATTCTAGTTTTTATAGCGTCTAACCAACATGTGGGCATGGTTTCTAAATTAAACAATAATTGAGTCAACAACACTTGACAAAAATTTAAGAACGGTTCACAAAATAAATAAAATTTAAAATGTATCTTGTAATTTACAAGACATCTCCAAATTTGTACCCTCAAGATGTTTAAAAAGTTAATACCAATTAAGGGCGGTGACTTGTTGTTAATTCTTCCCAGAAGGCAATTTTAATTAAAAATTAAATTTGTATTCGTCGCAAAAGATTCAATTAACATTTTAAATCAGAGAGTTGCTTAGGAACTTATTTTATTTAAAACAAGTCAGTAGTCAACGGTAGAGTCACTATAGTGTGTTCTATGGAATGAAAATGACAAATAAATCTTAAGTAAAATATTTTAGTATGATATTCTTCTGACATTAGTAAGATTGAGCTCATTAAGCATCTTAGATGCTGTGACAGCGATTATCTTTGAAATTGTTCCTAAAACTGCTCATAAAGTTCAAAACTAATGAAATACAAAGCTGATGTCGATACTCTCATGACCTTTTAAGTAACTATTGACGATTCCTATGTCCTATGTCCTTTCATTGATAATGTCAAATAATATAACACATCACAATTCATTGAATTAACACATCCTGTTGCTGCACAGTCCTAAAATTATCACACAGCACATAATGTATACAAATGACATCATTCCATTAAGCAACATAAAATTCCTTGAAATGCTATTCATTCCACAATAAGCTCATTTTACATCCAGCACTCAATATTTACATGTTCAAATATTTTCCACCATGAAAATTCCCTTTCAAACACAGAATGTAGTCATGAACATTGTAAAATTTGTGACATACACGGCAATAAGTAATAAGCTACAAAGTTCTTTTCGCCTATATATTTTATGTGAACATGAGCATATTCAAATCACACGATATCGCTGAGGTGAAAGTGGATATAATTGGCACATCATGACACAGTTTTGCAAAATAACTTTTTTCTTCCATTCTCATGCCTGATTTTTCCTCGTCATACCAATGCTATCTAGCGGGTGCTATTGCTTCATACTATGAACAGAGTTTAGATGAGGTACGAAGGTATACATACGCTGATGTAGATACCATACGTTCATTTCCCTAATGATGCTTTCAATTTGTACATTGCTAGTACTGAACATACATTGACAGCACATTTTTATTGATTACTCCTTTTTTTTGTTCAAAAACTTCTCAGTTGAAAGATTCTTTATTATCGGATCGAACGAATTGAGAATAAAGGAAAAAGGATATAAAAAAAGCGTTGAATGATGAAAGTCAAAGAATTTTTTGACGCCTGATAAAATGAATGTTTGAAATGCGATTGAATTTGTTTGATAAAAAGGCTGACTTATTGTGTGGCGGATTTATTGAAGTGTCAAGTGCTTGATCCTTTTGTAAATTAGCTTGGTTTATGGATTGTAAGAGCTGAATGTACATGAATTCATGCTGAGAATTGAGGTTTTGGATGTTTTAATCCTGTGCTCTTTGTTTAATTTGATTTCGGTTGTATCAGCCTTTTTAGGAATAAAGCACTCGTCCAGACAGTCCTGAATAGGTAAACTAGTTGTTTTAGGATACAATTTGGGTCCATTAATTCTTAAGTCTTTTGATGTATCAAAATAATTATTTACAGTTTTTAAACTCCGAAAATGAAGGCCGAAAAAATATTTAACCTAAATTCCTATGCAACTTAATGTTTAAAACTTAAAGCGACCACAATTCCATAGATTATTAAAAAGTTCAATACTTAAAAATCCAAACTTTTAATATTCACACTTCAATTTCTTCATTATATAACAAAAATCTGGTCTATAAATTTTAAATTGCTCCACAAATCAATTTCATCCAGAACAATTCACAAACTTGCTTGTTCATCATTCCGCAATACGACAGCAGTAGCAGGAAAAAAAAGCGAATGAAAAACTTTTTCTTTTCACATCTAAACAGAAACAACAGCATTAAGCCAGCAGCAGTTGAAAATGGCTAAATTGAATAATGTCGAGAAATTTAATGAAGCAATACGAAACATTATGACAGTATCTTTACACCCATCGATCTACCTCGTCCTCACACTTTTGCCTTCATGCCTTGTCGTCATGCCAAAAAAAATTATCTTAAATCAAAATTTATGTCTCACTTCATTGTAAGTTGTCGTCTACGAGGTTGAGATTTTTGGGTGGTGGATGTACATTTCATCTACATTTATTAGCTCAAATTGATGTAAAATGAAAAAAAAAATCGATAATTTGTCATCTAAAGAACATTAGCAGGATTCAGAGAGGCATCTTGATGCATTTGAGGACATCTTTATTGGTTATAAGCTTTGGATGTCTTGATTAAGAGTCAGAGCTATCGGAATTCCTGTTTAGAAAGTGTTCAATCTAAAATTGAGACCCTAATAGTTTTAAAAAACACACTAACAACCTCTGGCATCAATCCAAGACATCTCGTGTTAATTTTTTTATTCCAATTTACGCTTCAATCCTCAGACATTCATTTATTTATTATTTTTCATATTTCTTCTGTTTTAGTCGTCATCATTTGATCATGAACAATTTTTCTGTATCTTTATGAATGTCGATAAGAAGCAGAGAGACTCCTGTCGCCGGAGGTATAAAAAAAATATTTTGTTGTTTTATGATAAAATATAAAATTTTCTCATGTTTTTCTCTCTCTTCATATTTTCGCCTCAGGATTTTTTTTTGTTCTTCATCTTTTCGTTGTCGTTGTCGTCTTGTCTTTTGGCTATAATGCAATAATGCCATCATTGATATGTTTATACAAACAGACTTCATGGCACCAAACTTGGCATTTTGGGTGGAGGAAAAATAAAAGTTTTCTTCGAGATTTCTTTTCTTGTTTTTTTCTGTTTTGGCACCTCCAGTAGAAAGTTCTGAAATGTTGCGGGTAAAGTTTGTTTTGGCCATGAATTGTTTTTGTTGTTGATGGAATCATATTCACACAAAATTTTCAATTTTTGTGAATATATTTTTTATGCTGTAAATACTCTAATTAATTAAATTTTCAGATATTTTCAATGTTGTTTACTGCAAAGTTTCGTTCAAAATATTTTTAAAAATCAGGTGGATTCAAGGCTGTATGTAAAACAAGCGCCAAAATTGTATTAATATTTAAATCAGCACCGTAGGAATTTCCAAAAACCCTCGACGAAAGGATTTTCTTTTGATTTTTTTTTATTAAATTGGGAAACCACATGCCATGTTGTGGAAGCTTAAATTAGATTTGAATATTTTTTTCAAGGTTTGAGAACTTTGCATCATTCAAATTTAAAAATTTCAATTAATTTTAAAATCCACAAACTCAAACCTCATCAAAATTTTCTTAATTTCATCGAAAATCTTTTTACAAATCTTCAAAGCCTCAAATCCTCAAATCCTTTCACATCACAAAAAAAAAATCATTTATCCCCCAAACAATTTCCTCATTACTATTCGAATGATTTTTTTGTTCCTTGAGCAAATCTCATTGAATATAAGTCACGCTCGACTTAACAACCTTGATTATTTAATTCCCATTTCGATAGAAACATATATTCTCTGTATATTTGCAATTGCTATTCATGATAATTCAATCTGAAAGAGAAGATCAAGATGCCTCCATGGAAATCATTAATTTCGTATTTAATTTTTTATGTTAAGCTATGAGCACAAAGAAGAGAAAGAGGGTAAAAATATCCCAAATGAGAATAATCTTTATAAATCTATGAATTTGTATATTGGAAATGAATAAACTTTTATTCTTAGAGAAATGAACAGAAGAATAATTGTGTGTAGATAAGAAAATTCTGTATTAGAGATGGGATGTATTCATAAGTGATGTAAATTGACACATTTAATTCTGACAGCATCAATTTTGCATTAAATGTTATTTATTATCAAAATATTTACTTAGGGAGTCATCAGGAAGCTACCGTAGCTTAACAAACCTATAAATGAAGTCACATTATGTTGGAAATACTACATCCAGACATCATCTGAGCTTCGAGACTATATCATTAATATTAAGGGGGACCATCTGCGTAGTTTTACAACGGAGAGTCCTGAATTTCAAAACCCTGTCCTGTATAAATTTTTAAATTTTGTTCCTGGTCCTGTATTTTTTTCATGAAAATTTCCGTTAATTTTCGAATTTTACTCTATGTCCTGTTTTTTTCGAAAAAATTTACCAAATGTCCTGTATTTTCATGAAAACTAGATGGTAACCCTATTAATATTTTAACTGAAACGGATCTAGAATTGAATACTAATATAAAATAAACGTCATTTATGAAATGACCCCCCTCCTTAACTCACTTTTGCTTACGTAAGTTCAATAAATTCCAATATTATATCCCTTTTTATGTTCGCAATATAAGAAGAAAATTACATAAGAGTATCTCAAAGTTCACCCACTCGCGCGTGTACATCCTTTTATGCGATTTTATTTGTGATTCAAAAAACATCAGAAGCAAGACTTTTTTTTATTTTCTTATGTGTTTTTCTCTTTTTTATTTTATTTTTTTTTTTATTTTATACTCCAGTCGTCGTTTTCGCAGTCACAGAAAAAGTCACATCAAAGGGCATCAAAAAAAAGTGAGATCCTTGAAATGATAATTTGTAGAAATTTTGTGTGTGAGGACTTGTTTTGAATTTTGAAGATTGCAATTTTCATTTTTATTGTAGCTCGTAAACTGAAAGAACTGAAGTCAAC